TTGTTTATCTATCAGCAATCCGCAAATAGCCAAAAAAAAAAAAAAAAAAAAAAAAAGACAAATTTTGAGAACTTTATAATTTTCTGGATACGCTCAAAATGACGGATAGCCGTAATTTTAGGTATAAACAATAATATTGTCATAAATAATTACTTAAAATGAACAAAAAAATATATTTTTTTTATATTTCTATAAAAAAAGTCAAAAAGTATCAAAGTGATAACTAAAGAATTAAAAAGTTAAATTCTAATTAAAAAGTTTAAATATCCAATTAAAATGGAGATACGGCCAAAATGACCGTTTCTGTAATTCTAGTGTTAAACTGTGTAATATTCTTACACTAGTTTTTAGGCATTGATACCTCGAAATTCCCCATCAATTTCAATCAGTCATTTCGTAAAAATACATACGTTTTTGATAGTGTTAGAATATTTTCTCCCTCCTTTCTGCAAGCATTTGTTTCGTAACGGTTAGCACACTCTAGATCCTTCTTGATTGGAAATTATTAATTATTCTTTTAATTGCAAATTTTACATATTAGTTTTTCGTGACTGAAAGAATTCATTCAAACATACGAAGGAGACGAAACGCAAGCATAAACAAGTTATCGCGTTTTTTTTTTTTTTTTTTTTTTTTTTTTTTTTTTTGTGGAGAGTTAATTTTATGTGAGAAGTTAACTTACTTCCGAGAAGTCAGCAGTCGTATACTTTCTTTTTAATGCATATAATATTTTTTTTCATTTTAAAGTTCGATTTTAATGCAATCCATTTTAAATTCTAAACTTGTTTTGAGTTTATTACATGTTTCTAGTAGTTTGTAGTTTTAACATAATTCTCAAACTCTTCAATTCTACTCAGTTTTAATATTTTTACCTCTGCAGTTTACTCACAAATTCTTCAGTTTTAACACAATTCATGTCTTCATTTCAATTTTCAGTAGTTTTACATTTCGTGACCTAGGAGATAACCATAAAGAGAAAATTAATAAATAATTATATAGAGATGTATATATAGATACATAGGTAGACAGATGGATACAGAGAGAGATATACAGGTGGATAGATAGATAGATGAAGAACTGATTAGATGCCATGACTTAGATTGCAGCATCATAAATGATTCATTATAACTTTCAAGTTTTGTTTTTACATTTGTTTATTAAATAAAAAGAGCATCCCTAAGGGCAGCAGTTGAAGGAACAATCAAATAAGCTTTGATTTTACTTTAAAAGCAGGACAGAGAATCAGGTGAAATTATGGAAGAAACAATAGCCGAAACTCTTTTATTCATAATCTACTTAACATACGTTTTTGAAACCGTCATTCTTAGTGTTCAGTTAATTAGAGGACTACATATTTTTGTCATCAAATGAGACATTCATTTACTTAAGTACTGCTGTCCTCGTTTTTTTAAACTTTCTCTTAAATAAATGTGTATTAATATAACTAAAACTGAAATTTATTGGCCCTGAAAATCTTTTAAAATTTACTTTCAAGCTGAAAACACCTGGTCTGTATAAAACCATGAAATGCTAGTTCTTTTAAATGAAAGTAAAGCATGGTAACGTAAAATTTAAATTTATGCAAAAGAGAAACCTTAGTTTGTCATTGATTTTAAAAAACAACGCACGTATTTTCGAAGGCGTTCATGCACATGTCCCGTTGTTAATATAGCTACTGTTCATTTCTTGGAGGAACGAAAGCTTTATAGTGCAGCTTCAGCACCCCAAATGATTGTCTCGATTGAAAAAGCTTTTAAATTTAGCGGAGTCGCAGGAAGAAACAGTTCGCATTTAATTACTCACAGCGTTAAGTACAATAGAAAATCACTCGGTTCGAATCTTAAACAAACAAACAAAGAAAGAAAAACGGTCTCAAAACCTCGACTTAAGATTTATAAGTATAGTGTTTCTCTAACGTACATATTTTGACGCAAAATCGAGCATTTTCTGAAATGACATGCTAATTTTATTTCATATTTCGGTTTTATGTCTAAACTTATGCCAAACTTTCAGTTTTGTAAAACCTGCAGCAATTTCGTTTTAACTAGAACTCACGCTTTTAACTCCGCAGTATTATGTGAATTTAATGTATATTTAATAGTACTTCTTTCTAAATTAAACTTGCTTGATGTTTCGCTCATAATTAAAAATTTTGATTTAATCCAAACAAAATTCACACTTTTTCTGATTTATTTTGGAAATTTACATTTTAAAATGTTTTTATAAATTTTTCGAAATCGAAATTTGAACTATAACGTACAAAACATTTAATAGCATATTAGAATAAGTGTATTTCTTGAAATATCTGCAAAAAAATAATAGTTTTATTTAGAAATTCTAAAGGAATCTTTGACTTTATGCGTGGGTACTCTTTTTGGAATTTGGCATACGTGTAATAGACGATGATAACGGTAAATATGTTTTTCATGGTATGCAACGGTTACATTTAACCTCAAATTCCCGTATAAATTTTTACTGAAGATTATTTATATGGAATTTCTTTATAGTCATTTTTATGAATGATGCTTAGTAAGTATTTATTAATAACATGTAAAAAATTATTTTTTTTATATTATATAAAGAATGTTAATCAAAATCTTAACGAATTTGTTTTCTTTTTTTTTTTTTTTTTTTTTATTTGAGGGGAGGGAAATCAAAATTTACCTTCGCCATGTTATCTTTTACTAGTTCAGGTACATTTCCAGTTTTGTGCACCGAAAAATCTGCCTACTTGACTACTGGCCGAAGTGCATGATTTTGCATACAAACTCTAATTTTAATTGTAAATTTTATTGTTTAAATTGTTTTAACTGTATTTATATTTTTCTATATTTTTCAATTTTTAATAAAGATATTTTGAGGTTTCTTGTACTTTTGCCTTGTCGCAAAGTGAGAACTGAATTAATTGAATAAGCAATATATCTCTAATGGATAGGAAATAAGTTCTAGGAAATAAGTTTTAAATAAATGTAGAAAAAAATGCGTATAATTTAATATTCCATACAAGAAATTCATGTGGTGTACACATAAGACTTTTCAGTATTATGTTTATTAAAGAGATGTTATTAATTCAGTAGTTAATTGATAATAACAGTATCGACTACGAGCATTCTCAATCTTAAAACGCAATTTAAAACTCGCCTTGATTAAAAATAAAAAACGCCCTAAATAAAAATAAAAAAATGAAAAACTTACACATCTACGCAGATTTACTTCACTGTAGTGTGAATGCGAATGTCGTAAAATGAGGGTTTTATAAAAGGATTCAGTTTCGCCTGACAGTGTAGGCGCTTGTGCATATATGTAGGAATGGCCTTACCATTGATCACACACAGTCCAGTCTCATTAATGTAACCACCTGACAAAAGCCAGAATAACCATCTTTCGCAGAGCGGACCTCTGCGAGACATGCAGGAAGAGAGTCGATTATGTTCTTGAAGATGTTCACAGAGACGCTGAGCCATACCGACTATAGTGCTGTGGCCAGCTGAGCTAGGTAACGCGGCTGATGATCCATCTCGTGAACAACCTGATCGAGACGGTCCCAGATATTCTCGATTGGCTTTATGTCCAGGGAGTTTGCTGGGCAGAGAAGTACGGTAAACTCATCCTGGTGCTCTTCGAACCACGCATGTACACTATGAGCTGTATGACACTTCGCATGGTGCTGTTGGTAGATGCCATCATTCTGAGGAAAAACTGTTCGCATGTAGGGGTGGACGTGATCTTCAAGGACAGATGCGTGTTTCAGTTGACACATTGTACCTTCTACAATGATGAGTGCACCAAAAGAAGGGCAAGAAAACACTCCCCAGACCATAATGCTCCCTCCTCCATCTTGGATCCTCCCGGCGATTGTAAGAGGTTGTTTGCTTTCTGACGTTTCACGCTATATACGCAAACGTCAATCTCTTCGATGGAGCATAAATGTGATTCATCAAAAAATTCGCCACTCGTGGACGTCCAGTTGCTGTACTGGCGTTTAAATTTTAGCCTTAGTCACCGATGTCGTCGCCGATGAACTGCAGTCAGCATAGGTGCTTCAATCCGATGACTGCTTCGGAGGCCCATATGCAGCAAAGTTCGCTAAACCGTCGTTGAGGAAGCACTATTGTTAATCTGGGTTGCTCAGTTCATCAGTTGCTCAAAGGTTGCACGTCTATTGGCCCGAACTCATCTCCGCAGCCGTCGCTCATCCTTATCACCCCGTGATGCACCAAATTTCCCACGTCGCTGATTTCGGATGGTGCCATTTTGCCATGCATGGTATACTTTTAACACGGCGGCACGCGAACGGTTTTTAAAATAGGCCGTTTCGGAAATGCTTCTATCCTTGACCCAAAAGCAAATGATTATGCCCTTTTGGACGTCAGATAAGTCACTCCGTTTCTGCATTACGGCAAGAATTCCAATATTTTCTGATTCTATCGGACAGCCTTTATAAATGCACCATTTAAATGTGCTACCGCCTGCGTTCTGTGATTGGTTATTTCACTCTGACGTCGGAAGTAGGTCACTACCGACTATCACGTTAATGTGGCTAGACTGTGTATATTAACTTATTAGTCGTCCTTTTTCTTTTCATTTGTTTTCTATGCAAGTGCGTTATGATGACCGAGTTAACTGGTAGATCTTTAATAAACATGTGGCTGTATTCAGTTGGACATGAATAATATGAGTGAGAAAAATTTATTTTCGTATTGCAATTATGATTGCTTTGTAGTCAAGAAAATGATTTTAAGTAAATACTTTGACAACCCAGCTATCGAAGAATATTTCTGCTTGAGTGAAATAAATTTGTGTATCTTAAAGAAAAAAACAGATGAAGTTCAAAATCATATTTAGCATAGATAATTACATATATGGACTTCTACAATTTCGTTTATTTTCAATCCAATTTGATAAAAGGGTTGTTGTTATTTTGGTAACGCATTAAAAGTTGTACCACTTAATCAAAGAAGAGAAGTGGGACTAACAAATGGTTTCTCCGATTCTTTCAGAGGCATGGATAGATCTACTCTGAGTTCCACATCTGTCGACCAAGGACTAAATTCCATGTTAAGCGCTAGAACGTCTACTACCGTCATCAGTGTAGCAGCAATATTGTTTTGGTAAAAAAGGAACTGAGATCCAATTTAACTGCAGTGATAATAAAGTTTTATATATTTATGGTAACTATTATATTGAACTTCTTCCATTGCTTATCACAAAACTTCCCGTGTATGAAATATCTTCTGATCAAATGTTACCATGATCAGCATATCATAGCAGCACTTGTGATGCTACGATAACAGTATGTAGGATGCCATATTTCTTCGAATCTAAGACTTAATAAGTTATTTTTTAATGTTCTGAAACGAATGCATATTAGAATCGATAGCCTCATAGAAATGCAGAGTTTGCGAATTACCAATTATTCGAAACAACACTTTTCCCTCCAAACGAACTGGAAATACTACTTTTGTAAATAAATCAATGTAGGTTATTAAAATGAGGTTTTCTAAAAATTTTACTTCAATCAGTCCTCCCTCCCTCCAGAATTTAATCCTGTATTGGTGATTATGGAAATTAAAGTGTGCATCTAAGAATCAATGGAATACGCCTAAGTTTCACTAGCATATCTGTCAAAAAGTTATATTTATTCGTAATTGTACAATTAGGGTGTTCTGAATGCCCGTTACAAGAAGAATGAAGAAAATATTTTCTTTACTCACCTAAATTATTCTAGACTTGCTCTGAGTAGTTTAAAGTTACACAAAGCAACAATTCAAGAATAAATATTTTATGCTATTTAATAGTATACATTTCAGATTTGTGTTGTAAAAACATTTAATCTATTACCTTTCAGACTTGTCTTAAAGATCAATTATGACAGTAAACCATGCATGCATTCCAGAAAACTTTTCAATTTTTCTAACACATCTGTTATTGTTGTTAATTACATGTATTTACTTCGGTATAATACTCTCTATGATCTTTCTGAACATTAAAAACTATACTAATTATTATTTCTGATCTACGAGTATTTATTTCTTAGAATAGCTGAAGTATCATGGTTTACTCATTCTATCGCTAATGAAATAAGCAATTTATTCTCTCCTGTTTACGATCCGTGAAGAACAAGCTAAATATGGCATCTAAGAAACATGTTGATGTATGGCTTTCCCAAAAGACTAGGACCGCCAAAAATAAATAAGAGAAAAGGAGCTAAAGCATTATGCCCAGCCTAATTTGAAAGCGGTTTTCACCGTCGGTGGTGAATGAAAAGTCCACTTCTGTTATGATGTCAATTGCCATACGGAGGATGCCTGCATTGTGTGTTAGGACTTTATTGGATATCCATTCCTCTGGTATGGCTTCTGGAGATCAATTGGGTCTCCAGAGAAGGGAAAGACGTGTTATTATTCTATTCTTAGAAGATCATGGAATAAATGGGAACGCATCACGCGCGATCCGAGAAGCTGAACCTCTAACCAAGTTTTTCTTTTCCTGTCCTCCTTTTTTTTTTTTTTTTTTTTTTTTTTTTTTACTGACGTCAATTATTTAGCTGCAGTCTTAGTCAATAGAGCATCACAGAACCGGTACAGAAATAAAAGCGTGCGAACTCTATTTATTGTGATTTTCAACTAATTGACTCAGAACTTTTCTTTATTAAGATTCTGCAGAGATGTTGTATCCGCCAAGGGTATTTTCATTGCTTCATTTAATGATTAAAAATTCGCAATTTGCTATGTCCTAAAGTAATTCAGTTTACTTTTCCTATTGTAAAAGGAATACTTTATCGCCTTAATAAAAATAATTTTTACTACCATATATTTAGAACTATATAATATGCGACTAGTTAAAATTTAATAATTTTGTAGTATTAATTCAGAAGTCAAACTACAAAAATCAGCGTTATACCTACAAAATTTTCACAGGACTAGTTTCGATGGTTTTACCGAACCATCATCTTCAGCTGCAAAACCGCAAATGAACAAGATAGGAAATAATGATTAGATAAGATAAGAAAGCCTGGACAAGAATAAGCAAGTGGCGCCATCTGTTGGCGAAACCAGAACTAAAACATAATTTCTCTAAAAGCCGAAGGCAAATTTGGATTGGAATTAGGATCGTTAACTAGAACAGAAAGATTTTTATGAATGTGAAATGCCTCTAGAAAATCCAGTTCTCCAGTTCTCCATGGAAGATGTTTTTTGAATAATTTTGGCAGCAGAAAAATTGAAAGTGTGATTTTAGGGCCAACAATGTTGAGCAACAGAAGACTTCTGTGTTTCCTTTTTTCTAACATATGCCTCATGTTCTTTGACGCGAAATTTTAAGGCTCTCCTAGTTTGGCCAATGTAAATTAAACCACACTGGCAAGGAATCCTATAAATACCCCAGGAATTCATATCCGGAATGGGGTCCTTGAGTATAGAAGTTGGAATTTTATTGATGGGAGAATAAACAACCCGAAAGTTAAACTTCTGAAAAATATGTGCAACTTTATAGCTAATTGATGGAAAGAAGGGAATGACAACAGAATTTTTATAATCTCCTAAAATAAGAGTGTGGCTTTTAGTGTGTTGAGATGAGAATTTTTTAACTGCTTGATTAATAATGTTGGGTGAAAAGCCCCTGTCAATAGCTATTGCTTTTAAATAATTTAGTTCTTCATCAAGGGCTAGTTTGGAGGAGCAAACTTGAAGAGCACGGAAAACATAGGAATAAAATGAAGCTAACTTTTGTTTAGTCGGATGACATGATTTAAAGTGTGGTGGAAGGCAAACCGATGAAGGTTTACGGTAAACTGTAGTACTGAAGTTGGATGTGTTACGTGTGACCAGAATGTCGAGAAACGGAAGAGAATTGCAAGTCTCAAGTTCAAAAGTGAACTGAATAGCAGGATCAATAGAATTCATTGTTGAAAGAACTTTATTTAAATCATCTTTATTACCTTCAAACAGGGTAAAAGTATCGTCTACGTAGCGGAACCATGCCGGGAAGTTTTAAAGTTTCAAACAATTTTGATTCATAATAATGCATGTAGATATCAGCCAGGATGGGACTGAGGGGGCTTCCCATGGCTAATCCCTCAGTTTGCTTGTAATATTTATTTTGGAAAACAAAATGTGTTTGTTTCAAACAGAGTTGAGTGAGAGAAATTAGCTCATCAATTTCGATGCAAGAGAAATGAAATTCGCGAAGTCTGGGTTTCTAGACATCTTAATGCACCCTCCACTGGGACATTGGTGAATAATGATTTTACATCAAAAGAAACCATGAGTAAATTACTAGGAGAAATGTTTTTAACCTTTTTTACAAACTCTATTGAATTTTTTATGGTGTAAATGTTATTGTCTAAGAGAGTGGAAAATCTAGAAACTAAATATTTAGCTAAAGGATACGAGGCAGTACCTAAATTTGATACAATAGGGCGGAAAGGAATACCACTTTTATGAATTTTGGGAAGAGCATATAATCTGGCACAATTCGCAACAGATGGGATAAGCGAATGTTTTAAGTTGCTTGAAATGATTTGCGAAGATTTGATCGCAGTTTTTATTTGGATAAGTCCGAAGGTGAAGGATCTTTAGGGATCGGATTATATGGTCCTTCGTTTAAGAGTTTAGTGACACCATCGATGTAAGTGTTCTTATCCATGACGACTATCTGGCCACCTTTGTCAGCCTTTGAAATGACAATATCCGGGTTAGAATGAATTTCGCGCATTGTAGCTCTTTCTCTCGCAGTTAGATTTGGTTTCAAAGGTTTATTATTGAATTTCACATTATGAGCGATAAGATGCCTAATCATTTCTTTCTGTGCATCTGAAACTTTACTGAACTTGAAAGCTTTTTCGATAGGAGCCAAAATCTTTGGAATCGAGGGTTTACAGGTTTGTGAGAAGTTAAAATTATATTTTAGAATTCTCTCTTGTTCTTCTGAAAGACTAACATTAGAAATATTAACTATTGGCTTGATGTTTACAATGGGAAGATTTTTTGAACTACTTGAAATGGAAGACCGTAAAAGTTTTTCGAATTTAACTGCAAGGGTGTTTTTATGAAGGTTAACTGCATTCTCCGTTCTAGACCAAGACTTTTGTTCAAGGGCAGTGAATTTTGGATATGATTTAGCGAGTTCCAGATGAAGCTTATAGAGTTCATGTTCAATTTTGGACAATTGTTGACGTGTATCCCTTATCACGGACCGAAGTAAGGCAAGCTTGCAATTTAACAGAATTCTTGAAACGCGACTCGAAGGTTTTTGATTAGATTTGATTTGAATAAAATTAGGGATCAATTTTTTACATTTACATTTAAGTAAAAAGTCAAGATGATTCAGGAATTTTTGCCGTTTCAGGCGTAATTTAGTGAAACGATTAACGGATGAAGGAATGATAAACAATGCAGAAATCAAACCAAATTAACTGAGCAATAATAAAGTACACACCAAAACAGCAGAAAAATCCCTCACTGAAATGAATAGAAAACAAAAACGTTTGTAAGCAAAATGCATGAAAATCAGACAAGCAAAGCACAATATCCAAATGTACAAAACATAAACACTTGAAAATTGCAAAAATGTACTCACCGAAACTCCTACAATCACAAAATGGCGGCCACACCACGTGCAAAAAGAAAGCAAAACGTAAGCCTGTTTGGGCATCTATAATTAAGACAACAATAACACGCCGAATAAATACTAATTCAGAAGTCAAACAACAAAAATCAGCGTTATACCTACAAAATTTTCACAGGACTAGTTTCGATCGGGTTTACCGAACCATCATCTTCAGCTGCAAAACCGCAAATGAACAAGATAGGAAAATAATGATTAGATAAGATAAGAAAGCCTGGACAAGAATAAGCAAGTGGCGCCATCTGTTGGCGAAACCAGAACTAAAACATAATTTCTCTAAAAGCCGAAGGCAAATTTGGATTGGAATTAGGATCGTTAACTAGAACAGAAAGATTTTTATGAATGTGAAATGCCTCTAGAAAATCCAGTTCTCCAATGGAAGATTGTTTTTTGAATAATTTTTGGCAGCAGAAAAATTGAAAGTGTGATTTTAGGGCCAACAATGTTGAGCAACAGAAACTTCTGTGTTTCCTTTTTTCTAACATATGCCTCTGTTCTTTGACGCGAAATTTTAAGGCTCTCCTAGTTTGGCCAATGTAAATTAAACCACACTGGCAAGGAAAATCCTATAAATACCCCAGGAATTCAT